ATCTAGACGCACCGGGCAGGGATGTGCCTTTTCTCCTATCGTTTTTCTCTTGCTCAGGATTCTCTTCTTTGCCTTCTATAATTCCAATCCGCATTCCGTAGCATAACCATAGGCCATAAAACCATTAAAATTACTGCTTTTGCAAATGGCTTGCTTCTAGATATTTCCCAGCCAGCATCCTTTCTACCGAGTACAGTATAATGTCCCTTATTAAATCCTTCAGTTCAATCTCAGGCTATGCCATCAATTTCAATGAATCAAAAGCCAAACATCACAAGCCTCTAGGGAGCAACCCCTTATTTGGTACAAAAACATTTTGTATCTTGGAGTGTCCATACCCAAAACCTCCCACAACTTAAACAAAATTAACAATCCTCTGTTACTCTCCATAAAAGCATGAGACATGCTTGGAAACTTTAACATTTCTTACATGGGCAAAATAAGCTTAAAAAGGGTAGCCTTTCCTAAAGAGTTTTACACAATGTACATTCTCCCCATACTACATAAACACTTAGACCTTAAGTATGTCTATAAAATGTTCACATGGGGCAGTAGGAGCAACCATAGGCCTCTGTATCTTACAACAACCCCCCAGCAATAGAGGCCTCAAATGGAACTGTATAACCTAGCATCTTTAAAGCGGTAGTAAATCTAACAAAAAAAAAAAATTGGACCCTCAGGCAGTTTAGGTCATAATGTGCTAGTATGTACCTCCTACTATCACATTATGACAGACTTACCAGAAACTAAGCCCTCCAGCAGAGCGATGGCACCACCATAGCTGCTTCTCTCTTCAGCTGGTTTTCCTTCCAGGTTTGTGGGTTTCAGCCCCAAAGACGTCACTCCCACGGCACAAAGTTCTGAATGGATGACAGTCCATTCAGAGCCCAGTGCGCGTGTGCTGTAAATATCTCCTAAATGATACATGTTTAGGAGACAGTCACTGGACCTATAGGTAAGCCTTATTATAGGGTTACATGTAGGTAAAAATAAACCATGTGAGTTTACCACCACTTTAACTAGATGTAAGAGAATGTATACTTGGGGGATGCATACTGATACTGAACTTGACCAAAACATAACCCCCCAAATAACTATTTTACATAAAAAACTCTTTCCCACTGAGGTGTTAGTGAACTCTTTATTATACTCCATGAAGTTAACATGACACAAAATACCCACACACTGCAAGCTAAATAGCCTGCATCTCTTTTTCTCCTTCTTTGAAAAAACTCAGACTTCCCAGATTCCTCTGGACATCCCACTCTTAAACAGTGGCACTATGGAGGCCTTCACTACATAAAATTGTTGGTAGACATTGATAATAAACAAACATTTTCTCTCAATAGAGTGCTAGGCAAATTTCCTTACCTATCCAACAACCTGGTCTTCCTTCTAAAGGTGAAATACTACATTACCTCAAACATTAAAAAAAATCTCTTGGAGAGACTGGGGGAATTCATTAAACATGCTTCTAAGGTATCCTAACCAATGTGAAAAAGCAGTGTCTATATAATTATTTCCAGCAGTTGATGGACTACACTGCTTCAATCACTGGTCATAAAGCAGAACTTCACTCTCTTAATGAAAATTTACCATTATGATCCTTATGCTGTTAGCGTTAAAGTCAACCCCCAATTACCTGTTTTGACAATGAGCGGGGATTAGGTGATCGTGGGTGGATACAATGCTTTACAGGCTCCCAACAAAGGTGTAAAGGTGAACTTATCCTTTAAATAGATACAAAAGTATATCATATTTACTTATTTTAAACTTTTTTTTACATTTCTTCACTTAAGTGGTAACTGGTTTCCATGCCTATGCAAATGTCATACATCCCATGAGTCTTCAGGAGGGGAGGAGGGGTTTTCTCCAGATGGCTTTCAGGAAGTAAATGCTGTATGAATCACCTGCCCTTAATCAAGATGACCATGCCCAGAAATGCTAGGGGGCATTTTTCAAAAGTGATTTCTCAACAAAGTAAAGCATGAAGACATGGATAGATGGGGGAGTTTGCTTGGAATAATAAAAATTAATTAAATAGCATTTTTGGTTTGTGGTGCTCAGATGCAGTGTAGTTCACTTTAATAAATGGACCAGGGAATTCCCCCATCTGTTTACTAACATACTAGTAAAACACCTGCATTTGTTTTGGGGCACAATCAAAGCCACAATATACAGTAAAATGATGCTTAGGCTTTTCCACTGTTCATATTTCTCTCCACATCATTCTCACTTTATGGGCTAAGCTCCTTTTCCTACTGCCTGAAATATGATCTTCTGATTTGTTCCATGCTTTCTGATCACGCCCTGGGATTAAACATATTTTCCATTCAGTGTTATGTTATATCACCAGATATTTAGTAAACTATTTATCTCTAACCCCTGAATGCACACATTTTGGTTGTATTAATAGTCCAGATCAGGGGCGGACTGACCATTTGGAAACTCGGGCACTGCCCGAGGGCCCGGGGTCAGTAGGGGGCCCCATGAGATGCCCCTGATACCTTTTTCATAGGCTTTTTTGAGTTTGGGCAAGGACACAGGGGCCCCATGATCCCCTATTGCCCGGGGGCCCCATGAGCTGTCAGTCCGCCCCTGGTCCAGATCTCAATAGGCTTTAAACAATTAATCATTATATCCCTTGCAGCACAGAAAACCATTCCCCATGGATCTACCTGGATCTCCTAACCACTTCTATGTCTATAGCCAAACTATCATACATTTTTCACATATAATGGGTAGATGCCTCCGTAGACACTGGATAAGAAATGTTTTGACATCTTGGAATCCTTTATCCAAACCCTGCCTGTAGGAACTCAACAATCTATAGTGCAATGTTTCCAATATAGCTGATGGTTGCAAACGACATTGCTAGCCAATGCTCCCCATTATCGTCCACTTAAATTGAAATAAAACCCAGTAATCTAGACCTTTCCCTTTCCCATCTCCACCTGCTAATTGATTGCTATCCATCCTGGCGCTTAATGCAACTCACCTCTAGACACACCACTGCTAGTTTGTTTTCAGACTATTAACATTATCATTCTCACCTGGCCAAATGTTGCGGCAACTATCATTGTGAAATGCATTCTTGCATAAAAAAATACATTTAAAAAAACACACAGTATATACTACAGGGAAGGATCGCCTTAATGATAGTCATACACATCTTACATTTTTAATCTCAAGCAATTTCAACAATTTTTTTACAAAAATGATTACACTAGTTGTAACTATTCATCAATAGTTTTAATTGTTTTATGGTTTCAATAGAAACTGTTGAAGTTAGGTTGCTTTAGTTCTCATTCACACCGCAATGCAGTGCTGGAGAGCTGCATTCCTGTGCGTCTTCCGACACCACATTACGATCGCAATGCCTTTGTGATCTGTTGCGGGGGTCCGTTAAAATTAACGACACCCCAAACACAGGTCGCAAACGCATTGCATTTGCCTGCATTAGCCTGCTTGGTACAAAGAGCCATGTGATGCAGTTGCTGTGCGTTTAAAAAAGTAGCGCATGCACTACGTTTAGAGGCAGTGTGTTGCGATTTCATCCCATTCAAATGAATGGACATGAAATTGCACTGCATAGACCTGCATATGAATCTCACATGAATGCACAACACGTTCCTGTGCATAGTGTGAACCAGCCTTTAATTTGTGTGTTGCTCTCTTGGTGGAATGCTGGCTGGAAGTGATCCACACTGAATTTGCTTAGTGTATGGCCTACATAGGGATAAGAAAATTAAATATAGAGCATATATAGGAAATTTGTAAGCTAATACATCAGGTCAGTTATGAAAATCAGATGATCCGATTTCACACTGATCTGTATGCTTGTCCAGGGTGGAGACTCACAAAGAGATCAAGAGACAGCCAGGTAGATAACAGTTTCAGAAGGAGGTCAACAATGGCAGCCTACATTTTTATTTATTTTATTTTTTTTAAAGAAAAAAAAGCCACATTGTGTAATCTGAATCTTGGAAACATAACTATGGTACAGGGTCATGGTGGAATAAGATATAAGTTTATTATTTCAGAATTTGTTTAAATCATCATCAGACCGTGTGGAATTCTCATTCCTTTCGAATCCCTATTCTCTATGTAACAAATTGCTTATGCTAGGAGTCCAAGCTGTGTGTTATAGTTATGTGCATGTTAAATTTACCTGCTTTTCTAAATCTGTTATTTGTGGAAATCTGAACAGAAATAAGTGTTCCATGCAACATTACCAGATAAAATAATACTATTTACTTATAAAATACCCTATAAAATGCTTATTCACTGAACATTACAATGGTGGTAACTTCCTCTTAAACAGCATTTGACTGACACTATAAAGAAGCAATGCCTAAGGCTCCGTTCATACTTGTACGACTCCAAAGTTGCACGACTTTGGAGTGCAACTTTGGTGCAACTTTAATGCAACTTTGGATGGGTGCAACTTTGATTACGACTTTGGCTTTCATTAATGATAATGGACAACTGTTGCACAACTGTTGCATGTATATCATTCAGGTGCAACTTTCTTATGACTTTTGAGGGTTTTCATTGCAGTCTATGACACTCTCAAGTTGCATGAAATTCATACCAAATTAGTGCATGAACTATTTTGAAGTTGCTGTGACTTGAAGTTACACAGATATGAATGGTACCCATTGGGAAACATGGGGAGTGATTTGTCATGTGACTTTGGACCACACAGTTGCATGACAAGTCGCACAAATATGAATGGGCTCTTATAAGAGACGCAAAATAGACCACCTGCATGTAAGTGATTGCTTACCCAACTGAGTACTATTGATTATGCTTGTTATACTTAATGCAAATAAATAGTATTTGATTCTGTATACGTGTGATGTATTCAATACCATACCACAGTACAAAAGCAGAGGATGTAAAAGTTAGGGGAGAATATACACTATATTGCCAAAGTAATGGTACGCCTGCTTTTACACGCACGTGAACTTTAATGGTATCCCAGTCTTAGTCCGCAGGGTTCAATATTGTGTTGGCCCAAGTTGCTCTGTCATTTTACGTGACCTACCACTTCATGGCTGAGTTGCTGCTGTTCCCAGTTGCTTCCACATTGTTATAATACCACTAACAGTTGACTGTGGAATATTTAGTATCAAGGAAATTTCAGGGATGGACTTATTGCACAGGTGGCAACCTATCACGGTACCATGCTTGAATTCACTGAGCTGCTGAGAGCGACCCATTATTTCAAAAATGTTTGTAGAAGCAGTCTGCATGCCTAGGTGCTTGATTTTATACATCTTTGGCCATGGAGGTGAATGAAACACCAGAAATCCAATGATTTGGAGGGGTGTCCCAATACTTTTGGCAATATAATGTATGTACATAGTTAAAGATCTAGTTTCTGAGAATCTGTCTTAAAAACAAACATCTAATGGAGCTTTCAAATACCTGCAGCAGCCTTCCAAACCTTCCAGCCATAGCCAAATACTGAGCCATTCTGACAGGAAGTTTCAGCACTTCTTGGTAATACTGAAATTTGTCAACTTTCCCCTGTCTTCTGCAGATTCCTATTGGTAAGGCTGCCCATCATAGTGATAAATCAGAAGGAATATGTTGGGGAGTAGGGCACAGAGGTACCCTGATTTACCCCAAGATGATCAGGCTTTGCCTAGCAGAACTGGTCAGGATTCAGGAATGATTGGAGAGTTTGGGAGCCGATGCAGGTATGTGCGGGAACCTCTAGATGTCTGCACTTTATACTTGCATTTTTTTGTTTTAATGACAGAGGGCTCTATTCACAGAAGCAGATTGCATGCAGTATTTTGGTGCCAGGCACATTTTGCCTAAATATTGCATGCAATCCTGAAACTGTCAATTCACTATACAGTTTTGCGGTATTTACCTCAAAATGCTCAGTAAATACCGCATGAAAAGGCGTTAAACTCAATTTACAGAAGGAAATAAATAATTAAATGCATGCAATAATTAAGTAGTGGTCCAGGCATGCAATTTTTAAGAATTGTAAAAATATAACAGGCAATTGACTAGTTTCGGCCTTTTTCGATGCTGTCAACAGTAATGCATAGAAACCTAAATATGGAAATCATTGGAGTTGATTTACTAAAGGAAAAACTTTTTTTTTAGTTTTGGATAAAGTGGTTGTGGATTAGAACACCTGTCAAATTTTTATTGATGTCTGTGCCCTCTTTAGATTCACCCTCTTTATTTGTCCTAGTTACCATTATCATTGAAAGTGAAAGTAAAGGAAAATCACAAATTTTGGGTTGTCCCCAGAAAAAAGGGGACATCTTATAATGTAGACACAGATGGCAAAAAAATTTAAAAACAAAAATCTGAGAGGGGTTATAACCCTCCCTTACTCTATCCAAAATGGAAAACAAAGTTTTGCCTATAGTTCTACTTTACGGCATTTAGACTGTGCAATTTGCAATTTGCTCCAGAGCTTAGTACATGAGGTAAGCCCATTCATTTAGTAAATCTATCCCATTACATGTAGTAAAATATACTTATTTTCTTCTATCATTTTGTCAGATTTTTAGAGACTTTCTTTGTGAATATACACGCATGTACATCAGTTGACGAAAAAAGCTCCCAATTACTCCAAACATAGTACAATGTACATGCATATCACAATGGTCTACTCCCTTTTTAGAACATACAGTATGGCATTTAGCTAGTGGGGATACGTAACCTATATATATTCCAACTGACAAGTTCCTACTGACACCCTTGATGTTTTTAGCTATCTATAAGGGGGTATTTCTTCCCAGTAACCACATGAGTATGGAGCATTCTTCCTATTGACCATCACACTAATGTGTTGTAGATACAATAAGTTTTATCAGGGGTTTCCTGAGATTTCAAGGGTTCCTATGTGTAAAGGTTGAGAAAAGCTGCTTGAAAGTCTAAGTCAAATCAAAACTGTATTTTTAATTTTGGATAGAGTATTGGAGGGTTATAACCCCTGTCAGTTTTTTTGCCATCTGTATTTACATTGGAAGATGTCTCCTCTATTATTGTTCTGATGTCAACTCAAAATTGGGATTTTCTTTTACTTTCACTTTCAATGATAATGGTAAACAGGACAAACAGGGTGAATCTGGTTAATAGGGACAGATAGCAGTAAAAACCTAGTAGATGTTCTAATACCTCTGCGCCCTATCCAAAACTAAAAAGGTTTTTTCTTTAGTTGCACTTTAAGTAAATACAAAATATCTTGCTAAGTGTTGAACATTGAATGCTGATAGTATAAAAAATACACACAAAAAACACCCTTCCACCAATATCAAAGACAATGTTGTAGAAGAAGGGTATCTATATACAGTATGTGTGCAATTTTTTTATACTATTTTCATTCAATATTTGACATTTAGAAAGATATTTTGTATTTGCTTAATTTAACTTAGTTGTATTTATACAACACTTGTGTCCTGTGAAAGTAGTTTCCCTTTGACTGCTATTGTAATCACCTGTTTTCTTTTGTATTAATACATCTGCTGCAGGGATTGCACTGACTTTTTAGTGAGTTGGCAAATCTCTACAGTTTAAAGCATTTTGCCTCTTTATTAGCAATAAACACTGACAGGGGTTCTAATTAGGGGTGCAATGAAATTTCGGTGGCCGAAACGTTTCGGCCGAAACACCCCTATTGGCTGTCGATATGAAAAAAAGCACTTATACAGGTGCCAAAAAAAACTCCTTGCTGCTGCCGCCGTCCGCCGCTCGGTAGTTCTCAGCCTTACCTGATAAACCATTGAACAATCCCTGCGCTGGACATAGAGATTAGTGAAGGAAAGATGGCCTCCACTCATCTCTATGCCCTTGGAGGACCAGAACAATGTCACTTTCAATTCCGGCCATTTTTTTTTTTTTTTAAAGCAATAGATCAATGCTTTTTTGATCTAATGCTTTACTTTGTAGAGGCAAGATGTGGGGTCTTATTGACCCTATATCCCTCCATAAAGAGGACCTGTCACTAATTATTTCTATCACAGGAGATGCATGCATTCCTTGTGATAAGAATAAAAGTGGTTAAAATTTTATTGGAAAAAAAAAAAGTTTAAAATGCCCCCGTCCCCCGTGCTCACACATAGTGGTGAACGCATACGTAGACCATGCTCACATATGTAAATGGTGTTCAAACCACACAAGTGAGGTATCGTCATGAACATCAGAGCAAGAGCAATAATTCTAGCACTAGATCTCCTCTGTAACGTTACACTGCTAGCCTGTAGAAATTTTTAAAGTGTCACCCATGGAGATTTTTTAAGTACTGCAGTTTGACACCATTCCACAATCGAGTGCAATTTTAAAGCGTGACATGTTGGGTATCTATTTACTCGCCGTAACATCCTCTTTCATATTTTTTATAAAAACGTTGGGGTATATATTGTAGGGTTTTTTTTTGTTTTTTACTCAGTGTATTTTTTTCCAAAAAATATATATTCATTTTTAAAAAAAACTGCACATTTCGGTTTCGGGTTTCGGCCAAGTGCATTTTGAATTTTCGGTACCAGAATTTTCATTTCGGTGCACCACTAGTTCTAATTCTTCTCTACTGTACCCATCCCACTGGATATTGCATGAGATAAAATACCACAGTTTCATGAGAGAAATACTCTACTACTTCCCAAATCTTAGCTCATCACTACTCAATAGGCATTTTTAGGACTTTGCAAGGTGACCAAGAGAAAACTGTAAGTGCAGATGCACCTATAATTAAGTGCTGCTTAAACATTGTCTGCTGGTGAATATTCCTGGTGCATGTGCTTTAAATGAAAATGATTGATTCATCACCAGTGAGCATTTGCTGAAAGTCAGATTCACTGCTTTTTAAATATGCCCCATAATGTTATTTTATATTACAACATAATTATTAATTCCTTGGTGATGGTGCCTCCCGACTCTTTAAGAGGTTTGTGATGCTTGGAGGCGGGGTATCCCCGTGATTGGCTATCACATGATTTGAGGCAGTGGCATATGTGCCAGGAGCGCGCAGGGTTTGTTTACATTTGATATGGAAATATTTGCGGCCTCTCGACTTCAATGCCCAGCTGCTGAGAGGTTGCGTATTTACATACCATGAGCACCAAAGAGTTAAAAATCTTGCACAGAATTTCTTCAACCTAAAACAAAAACACAAACTTTGAAAAGAAGATATGAGTAACATGGGCCCTAGATGTACCCTCATCCCAACTAGTACATATCAAAACCCATTACTCCATGAGAGATTTCAAAACCCCTGAAAAGGTAATCACTGTAATTCTTGAATAAAAATAGATAATATTAATTATTTAGTATATAAACAATAAAACATTTTTAAACTTTGTTTCATGCTAAGTCACCTAAAAAATGAGAATTATCTCAATGATTCATACAAAAACAAGGAAAAACACCATAGTGTTCCAGGGAAATGATCTGACTGCTTTCATGATTTCAGATGCATGTTCTCTTTACACACAATTGTACACTTTAACAAAAGAGGTTTTTTTTTCTGTTGTTGCCATTGAAGGCAAATGACGAAGTCTCTTGCTAATCTACCCCCAAACCAATGTTTCTCACCTTCACCATAATACCCGCCAATCAATTTCCCTGAATAAGCTAAGTAGCAAAGTCTCTTTAATAAACTAGACTCTTACATGTGCTATAATGTAGCCTTAGTTGATAATTATTATGTTTCTCTAATGACAGACATATGTATTCACAGCACTGCTACATAATACAAGTGTTACAGAAAGTTTGCAATTATCATTATGGTAATGGTTCTTACTTTTCTAAGGAAGAGTGCCTGCTAATGTTTAAAAATGTCAGATGACACCCCTGAATTCTCATTACCACAGATTTGGAATGGAAAATGTTAGATGAATTTACAAATGTGTATATGCATACTCAGTTGTGTAAAATGTAGTATTAGTGCTTGACATCCTATGGTAAGTACATTTCAGTTACAGGTGTTCAGTGAAAAGCAGCTTGTCTAGTATCTATAACTACTGTATATTGCCAAACGTATTGGGACACCCCCCCAAATCATTGGATTCAGGTGTTCCAATCACCTCCATAGCTACAGGTTTATAAAATCAAGCACCTAGGCATGCAGACTGCTTCTACAAACATTTATGAAAGAATGGGTCACTCTCAGGTGCTCAGTGAATTCAAGCATAGTACCATGATAGGTTGCCACCTGTGCAATAAGTCCATCAGTGAAATTTCCTTGCAATTAAATATTCCACAGTCAACTGTTAGTGGTATTATAACAAAGTGGAAGCAACTGGGAACAACAGCAACTCAGCCACCAAGTGGTAGGCCACGTAAAATGACAGCAGGACCAGCGCATGCACTTTGTATGGCCTTAGATTAGCAAAACAACAGTGCATAGAGAGCTTCATGGAATGGGTTTTCATGGCCGAGCAGCTGCATCCAAGTCATACATCACCAAGTGAAATGCAAAGTGTCGCATGCAGTGATGTAAAGCATGCTGCCACTGGTTACTGGACTCTAAAGCAGTGGAGACGTGTTCTCTGGAGTTATGAATCTCATTTCTCTGTCTAGCAATCTGATGGATGTGTCTAGCTTCATGGAATGGGTTTCCATGGTCGAGCAGCTGTATCCAAGCCTTACATCAGCCTTACATGGGTTTGGCGATTGCCAGGAGAACAGTACTTGCCTGACTGCACTGTGTCAAGTGTGAAGTTTGGTGAAGGGGGGATTATGGTGTGGGGTTGTTTTTCAGGGTTTGGACTTGGCCCCTTAGTTTCATTGAAGGGATCTCTTAAGGCAACAACACACCAAGACATTTTGGACAATTTCATGTTCCCAACTTTGTAGGAACAGTTTGAGGATGGCCCCTTGACTGGCCTGACTGGAATTTTACTGGCCTGCACCTCAACCCGATAGAACACCTTTGGGATTAATTAGAGTGGAGACCACGAGTCAGGCTTTCTTGTCCAACATCAGTGCCTGACCTCACAAATGCGCTTCTGGAAGAATGGTCAAACATTCCCATAGACACACTCCTAAACCTTGTGGACAGCCTTCCCAGAAAAGTTGAAGCTGTTATAGCTGCAAAGGGTGGGCCAACTCAATATTAAACCCTACGGACTAAGACTGGGATGCCATTACAGTTCATGTGCGTGTAAAGGCAGGCGTCCCAATACTTTTGGCAATATAATGTATGTGAATCTATTGTTAATCAAAAATACTAACTGAAATTTGTTGTCAGTTCCAAATACCCTATATGCAAATTTCCACTTTTTGCCTAGAATCCTATGCTTGAATACTGTCCAGTTAATTGTGTACGGTGAAATTCATATTGTCAGCACCTGGTATCCCATTGTTTACAACTAATATGGCTCCTGCCCCTTGGAAATAGCATACCATAAATTGAGAAAAAATTTGTTCTGCAGTCTATTAAATACTTGTGTCCTTAAAGGATATAATAAAAACAGACATAAAATATTATATATAATGGTGCATGAGGCCTGTATAAGAATCACATAGTCTCACACACCATTATGCATAATTACATCATCTTGACATCCTCACCACGTCAAATGAGGTTTTCTTTACTTAAAAAAATAGTTTAAAAAAATCTGCAAAAAAGAGACATGTTCTCACAGATTTTAGTATGTATAGGAGCAGTATACATAGAACATCTTTGCAAAGCATCTGTACATTGTGGTGAAAAACATGAGGCATTAAAGAAAACATCTTTTCCAGTGAGGCAATTTTAAAGATAGATCTCAACGGAAGTGCTGACTGTCACTTTAAAGCTGCTAGTAGGCTTCAGCAGGCTTTCAAAAAGCTTTGAGTAGTTTTGCAGCTCTCCCATTAAAAAAGAAGTATCACAACATAAAATGCTTGCTGAATCCCCCAGAGGACTGAATGCATGTAGTAGTAGATCCTGTTTTGATCTGTGACCCTGTTGTGTATAAAAGCTATTTTTTTCTGTTTGTGTTGGCTGTAGCTCCACCCCAAGCTGAAGACCAATTTATAGCCATTCCTATGGGGGAATGACAGCATGGCACTAGAGCAGCAATGGGCAAACTACGGCCCGCGGGCCGTATACGGCCCGGCGGACCTTTTAATCCGGCCCGCGGAGCTAGGCTCCCGCAAGGCCAGTGGTCGGCAAGCCGCGGCTCTTTACAATAGATGCGGCTCTCCTGTGTGCCGGGCGCCCGCTCCCCTCCCTCCTCTCGGGCGGGCGGGCGACCTCCTCTCCTCCTCTCCCCCTCCCCTCCTCTCGGATGGCCGCCCCCCCTCTAGGATGGCCGCCCCCTCCCTCCTCTCGGGCGTCAGGACTCTGCAGCTGTCAGGATGTAGGCGGGGCAGCCAGGATGTAGGCGGGGCAGCGTGACGAACTCTTCTCTCACAGTCCTCCCTGAAGACCAGAACGGCGCGGGAATACGAGAGGAACGCGCGGAGGAGCAAAGGTAAGTGAATTGACACAGGGGGGGCTTACTATATGGGGAATGAATTACTATATGGAGGACTTACTATATGGGGGATGAATTACTATATGGGGGACTTACTATATGGGGAATGAATTACTATATGGGGGACTTACTATATGGGGGATGAATTACTATATGGGGGACTTACTATATGGGGAATGAATTACTATATGGGGGACTTACTATATGGGGAATGAATTACTATATGGGGGACTTACTATATGGGGGATGAATTACTATATGGGGGACTTACTATATGGGGAATGAATTACTATATGGGGGACTTACTATATGGGGAATGAATTACTATATGGGGGATGAATTACTATATGGGGGACTTACTATATGGGGAATGAATTACTATATGGGGGACTTACTATATGGGGAATGAATTACTATATGGGGGACTTACTATATGGGGAATGAATTACTATATGGGGGACTTACTATATGGGGAATGAATTACTATATGGGGGACTTACTATATGGGGGATGAATTACTATATGGGGGATGAATTAATATATGGGGGATGAATTAATATGGGGGATGAATTAATATGGGGGATGAATTAATATGGGGGATGAATTACTATGTGGGGGATGAATTACTATGTGGGGGATGAATTACTATGGGGGATGAATTACTATATGGGGGATGAATTACTATGTGGGGGATGAATTACTATGGGGGATGAATTACTATGGGGGATGAATTACTATATGGGGGATGAATTACTATATGGGGGATGAATTACTATATGGGGGATGAATTGCTATAAGGGGGATGAATTGCTATATGGGGGACGAATTACTATATGGGGGACGAATTACTATATGGGGGATGAATTACTATGGGAGATGAATTACTATATGGGGGATTAATTACTATGCTTACTATGGGGGAATATTACTATACTTACTATGGATGACACATACACATCATTCATCTACTCTTGGTCCGGCCCCCGGGTCCAATATATGAACCCATTGCGGCCCTCAAGTCAAAAAGTTTGCCCACCCCTGCACTAGAGCCACAACCTCCTCTCTCAATAAAACATATTGTGCAGTATTCCAGCTTGCCCAACCAGCACTGACTGTCAGGATAGTTTATATAACCTCTCTGAGGTGTATCCAGACAACTGAGAATAGCGAGAAGGAAGCTATACAAACTAATCTGCTACAGTCAGCACTGGTAGGGATGTGTGATTAGCCAGCTGCTAGTAAATTTTCAAAGTCCTTGGCTGCCCAGAAACCCATTGGGACATTTCTAGTTCTGGCACAGTCAGCACAGCATATGTAGAACTTTTGATTTTCAGTTTCTTCAGTATGACAATGCTGTTTGATGTGCTGTGAAATCACTCCAACGTTGTCACTCTGTGGACATGTCATTTTGGAGGGACTATAAACAAGGGACAAACACATTAAGACTCCATTCACATTTGTGCAACTCCAATTTCCAGTGCGACTTTGGATCTTGACTTTTATGCGACCTTGAGTGTGACTTTGAACCGACTTTACACTCCAAAAGTCGCATCAAAAGTCACATCAAAATAGTGCAGGCACCTTTTCAAAGTTAATAAAGTAAGAAGTGAGCGCTAACCAAAAAGCAGCTATGCACTCTAAGCAACCAATATAGACTTACAGCAGAATAATAACAATAGTGCAGCGCTTGGAGGAAAACAAGAAATAAATACTGATAAAAGTCTGGTAAAAAAAAGTCTGATGTCATAAAAACCGTACCAGGTGACTGGTAGTAATCAATGGTGATGATCCGTGAAGAATAGCAGAAATGCACACTCACCAGAAAGTAAATAAGTATAGGCGGTGTATATCATAGCCCCAGTCACGTGTGGTCACATGATCGGGCTGACCTGCAATGGAGAGGCGTTGCTGCGGGGTTTTATGAATGAACAGGGGCCTTTTGACCTCTGGTTACCTGGATCTGGTTTACATCATTTTTGGGCAAGTCCTGAATACATTCCTGAGGGAGGATTGACTCATTCTGACCAGACCTTTTCTTCTTGATTGAGGATCCTGGGGCTATGATATACACCGCCTATACTTATTTACTTTCTGGTGAGTGTGCATTTCTGCTGTTCTTCACGGATCATCACCATTGATTGCTACCAGTCACCTGGCACGTTTTCTATGACATCAGACTTTTATTACCAGGTTTTTATCACCTTTTCTAAGTTGCATTATTTTGAATGGGTGGTGCCATTCAAAAGAATGGGATGTGACTTGTCATGTGACTTTGATGTCCAACATCCTAAAGCCCAATGTCAGTTAACACATTTTACAGCAACAGTTCTTTCTTTAAAAAAAAGTGTTAAGCCATATTAATAAAAGCTGACTATTGTATGCACCCCAGCAGTGTTTCAGTTTGTCCCAACCCCTAACTGTCACTTTTACTGGACAGCTTGATCTGCATGTAGTTGTGGAGAAAATTTCAGCATGTAAAATAAAAGTGTGCAAGTATCCAACAGCATCAGGGATGACATGTTCAGTGCAGCTGTGCATAAACAACTAAAATAATACTGCGTATGATTAAACTAAGATATATTAATAATGAAAAAAAAAACATCTAACACCAGCAAAGAGAATACACAACAAAAGTGAAGATATACATAAACCAGGTGTCAAATAACTTAATTAGCAACCAAACTGTAATACAATATATACAAAACTGTGAAATCAGATAAACTGGGTAAGACAGGAGCTGCAAGGAGATGGATTGGGAAGAAGGCCAGAACTGGGATCATGACACAGAATTCAGGTACTGATAAAGAACAGCAGCATATCAGGATCAATGGTCAGAAGTAGCGCATCAATAAAAAGGTAGACAGCACACAGGAAAAACACCAAGCCAATGAACGGAGTTAGGAATAGGGTTGTAAACCTTCTCAGCAGCCAGTATCAGAGACAGATTACTGGGAACACCTGGCTGCTAGGGGACACCTGCTGGTGGCCACCAGAACTACACCATTTCACTCTGGGAACCACGGTGCCACCAGCAGGTGATCCAAATCCTTACAAAAAACATGTCATATTATTATTGGTGTTTATGGGTGATCTAGTATGGCCAAAACCTCTTATAATGTCTTAGCATGCAAAACTAATTATAAAGACCTAGAAGATGGTACAAGATGGTATTGCTCCCACTGTTTTAGGTGTTGTGGCTCTGATGGTACATTCGCACATAGCTGGTGGAAAAAAACTCTTCTGGATGAGAATACGTCAATTACTTCACATAATGACCCTGTGGAAGAATTGTTCAGTAAAACAGCTGCAGATTGAACCAAAATATGTGTTCATTGCAGCAAAACAAACAAATGCAAAAGTATGGAAAAAACAGACTATTCCTTTCATACAACTTACATCCTATATCACCCTCTGCATGACTTCTGAAAAAAACGATTACAAATATAGATGATTGACTTCCTAAATTCCATAAAATGTGGATTGCTTGGATAACTCACAATTTGCCAGAAGACTTTGATAGATCACTCATATATTTAATATACCTGCTAATTTAGGCTTCCTCCTTTTTCACTTTCCTGCCTTATTTTCTCTCTTTTCCTTTCCTCTTTTTCTTTTTCTTTTTCTTTCTCTGTCCTCTTCCCTTCCTTTTTAATTTTCCTCCCATTACCCTCTCCCTTTCTTTTCCCCTTGCACCTTAATATAATCTCCCCATATACACTTCTTCCCCCTCCCTCCACTTTTTAATTGTCAAGTTTTCCTTGCTGTGCAGAGATTATTCTAGTATGTCCCTCAGATATCAATCATTCTATAGTTTCATTGCTCTTTTTGTATACGTCTTATATTTGTTGGACATTTTAAATGATGTTTACTGCTTTTTTTTACTTTATGTTCACTCTGTTCATAATCTTTGTATCAGATGTACTGTATTGCAGAAGAATGAAAAAAATTCATATATTGAGTACCATCATTACAGGTATTAACCACATACAGTTACCAGAATACAGTATTTTTCATAGACTTTTTAATGACCAGTTCTACAAAGCTAACAGCTCTTAAAGAAACTAAATATAATCCCCTTTTTACACATAATAAAATATATCAGACATTTTTAAGTGGGTGACACATTCTTCTTTTTCAAACTTCAAATTTCAATGTCAGATTTGTTAACTTTGTTTTAATACTATAGTGCTATATATCATCTCACATTCAATGTTATTCTTCGAAAAAAAAAAAATACTTTTAATATGACATTCCTATAAATGAAATAAAGTATCGTATTCTCTATCCATTATTCTAATATTTTCCTGCCCCAATATGATATTTCTGTTATTTTTGGACTTTCCTAAATGGGGTGCATATTAAAGCTTTAACTTACTGGAAATCGTTTTGCCTTAGACAAATTTACAGGGATAATTTTGTTATTGCAGGTGTTTGTACTTGGGCAGCTATTAGGTACAGTTCTAAATGTTCCATTACATTGGTACATCACTGACCCTGTACACTGTAATTATTCAGTGGTCAGAGGCAGGAGAGGGCTCCATGCTTATTATAGACTCGGTTAAATGAAATGTTTCATTATGGCAAATGATTTGTCACTATGTAAAACAGTGTTACATAGTTAGGTACAGTATAAATCCATCAAGCTCGGCCTTTGCTAAACATCAAGAAGTTAATCCAAAGCAAAGCAAACACAAACCCCAAATGAAGTCACTGCCAATTTTTCTCAACGGGGAAAAGAAATTCTTCCGGGCTATAAAGTGGCAGTCATATTTTTTCCCTGGATTAGACATATAAAAACGATCCTGGATATTGGCTTCTGAATATAAATAAATACAAAAAATACGTTATGTTCTTTTGATCTAATACAGCTGCCAATATGACTGTAAGAGGTAAAAAAAAAAAAGTTTGAGCAAGGGAAGAGATATTTCTGAATTATAAAAATGGGTTTCAAGAGGTGAAAGGTACAACCAAAGGGACAAAATTGAACTGTAGGTATGGGTGGTGTAAGAACAAGGTTGGAGGCCATTTCTGAATAAAAAATGGGTTCCAAAAGATGAAAAGTACAACTAAAGGGACAATAATGAATTGTAGGTATGGGTAGCGTACTACAAAGTAGGAGGCCATTTCTGAATAAAAAGGGGTTCCAAAAGATGAAAAGTACAACTTAAGGGGCAATAATGAATTGTAAGTATGGGTGGTGTAAGACAAGGTAGGAGGGACAATAATGAATTGTAGGTATGGGCAGGGGCTAACTGACAACTCATGGGGCCCCCGGGCAATAGGGGATCATGGGGTCCCTGTGTCCTTGCCCAAACTCAAAAATGCCTATGAAAAAGGTACCAGGGGCATCTCATGGGGCCCCCTACTGACCCCGGGCCCTCGGGCTATGCCTGAGTTTCCAAATGGTCAGTCCACCCCTGGGTATGGGTGGTGTAAGACAAGGTAGGAGGGACAATAATGAGATGTAGGTATGGGTGGTGTAAGACAAGTTAGGAGGGACAATAATGAAGTGTAGGTATGGGTGGTATGAGACAAAGTAGGAGGCCATTTCTGAATAAAAAGGGTTTCCAAAAGATGAAAAGTACCACTAAAGAGACAATAATGAATTGTAGGTATGGGTGGTATAAGCAGGGCATGGACTGAAGGGACATCTGCCCTGGGTGCAGTGTCTCTGTGTAGAGGCAGGGGTGCACTTGGAGCTTTAGCAGTTCTCTTCACTTTTTCTACAGTAGCCAAGAACAAATACAGGGAAATAAAGTGTCCAATCTTATCTCCTCACATGATAACAGAACTTCCCTGCAGCCTTTTTTATTGGGGCTGACATTGGTATCTCCATCTTCTGATGAATCGCCTGTTTTTACAACCCTCCAACCACAAGTATAAACAAGGCCCATGTTGGGTTTGTTCACGTGTGCTGGCCAAGGGTGCTAGAAGCAAGCAGCTGAGCCATGTTTTTACCACCCCTCAACCACGACCTGAACAAAGAGATGCAGCTGTTCTATACACATGCGATAATCACAATGGTTTGCTTTACATGCACAGCAAAAATTAAATGGAACAAGACCACTCTGCAACTGTGTGCAATGCACACATCTGTAGCGTAGTGGGTCAGTGAGTTAAAACAACACCACCTGTCAAACACCCTCTGAAAATTGATCTGCCACATATTACTTTTCTGAGCAGCAGCAATGATAGCCACACACTGTATGGGCTCTTTCAGCACAACATTCTTTCTCAGGGCCCCCATAGATCCATCTAGTTTCATACACACCTCAGAACCCACCTCCCCATCCCTACTTTACCCCATTGACTGTCCTTCTTCAGACTGACAGTAGTAATGCCTCACATTTTTTTCTCTTAGCAACATCGCTGACACGGAAACATGTCTCCTTCCAATAACACCATGAAACAGGAACATTTCTCCTTTCAAAGACACCAACGACACAGAGACATTTTATTCTCCACCCCTTATTTGTGCTTCAGTGTGCTGAATTGGTATTATTTCAGTGAATACCGAAAACATTACATGCATTTCACTCTGTGAATCACTATTAGCCCCTCACCCTCCTCCCAGGTAAAGGGGGCACAGTTTACCATCTTTGACATGGCCACTGGAGGACCTTGTCCCGGCACTGGGTGTAAGACAAGGTAGGAGGCCATTTCTGAATAAAAAGGGCTTCCAAAAGATGAAATGTACAACTAAAGAGACAATAATGAATTGTAGTTATGGGTGGTGTAAGACAAGGTAGGTGCCCCATATTAAATTTATATCGTTTTTTCACACAAATAGAGCTTTCTTTTGGTGGTATTTAATCATCGCTGGGTTTTGTATTTTGTGCTAAATTAAAAAAGGCAGATTTTTTTTTGGGGAAAAAAAACACGCTTTTCTTTGTTTCTATTACAACATTTTGCAAATAAACTTTCTTCATAAAATTAGGCCCAACTGTGTTCTGCTACATGTCTTTGGTGAAAGTAACCCAAATCAGTGCTTATTATTTAGTCTGTAGGAAAGTTCTAGAATCCACAAACTATGCTATATATATCTGAAAATTGATTGCTCCTGATGTATTGACAGCCTAATTTCGTCAGGCCCGAAAATGCCAGGACAATACAAATTTCCCCAAAATGATATTTTTTTGGAAAGTAGACAGTCCAAGGTATTTAGTAAGAGGCATAGTGAGTTTTTTGAAGTTGTAATTTTTTGTCACAATTTTTTGGAAAATGAAGAAATTTAAAAATTGTTTATTTCTCAATTTGTTTTTTTTTTTACATACTGTCACCAGTGCAGTACAGCATCATCATATAACTGGTGTGGCCATGATGAGGGACACTGACTGATGACAGTATGTAAAAAATAGGTATCATAGTAACATTGTACTGCTCTGGGAAAGTGATCAGGATTTTTTTTTTACACATGATGATTGCTTATACCAGTGAATTCCACTGATATAAAACAACCATTTTTACTGAATGAAATTAATTCATTCAGCGATTACTACTGTGGTTAGCTGTGACTGGCCATAGCTAATCACGTGGTACAGATAGGCAGTGATTGGCCGTGTCTGTACCATGTGATCACTATGACCAATCACAGAGATCAACACAATAGTACACAATGCATGGCATGAATGAAAGCCATCTATTGTGTACAATTGTCATGTGAAATGCTGTGAATGGTCACAGCAATCACATGGTACCGGCAGAGGCCGGTACACTGATCAGTCATCCGTTGTGTCTGGTGGTGGATTGCGTCCATGGGCCCCGCACAAGGCACGTTCTGGAAGGACTTCATATGGGGGTTTATTTACTAAAGCTGGAGAGTCCAAAATCAGACTCCCTTCTGCATAGAAACCAATCAGCTTCTAACCTCAGCTTGTTCAATGAAGCTTTGGCAATGAAACCTGGAAGCTGATTGATTTCTATGCAGAAGGGAGTCTGATTTTGGACTCTCCAGCTTTAGTAAATAAACCCCATGATGTCCACCCAAAGCAGAGAATGTCTTGCCTGGCCATCATTTGTCTATAGGCCAGGTGGGAACTGTTTAAACTATCCAATCAATGTGTAACCAGCCAGACAGGTGCCTGCACTACATAGTTGTTGGTGAATCTAATGTTAATTGTGCAATCAAATTTTATGATTCTGATGATTATATCCATCATCCTCCAGAGCATGCTAAACTGTCATATTACTAGTTTTAGCTCACTGGATTCGTTTTCATAGATAAAACCCATATGGGTAGTTTTTAAAAACTGAAATAATGAAAGACTTGAAAACGTTCTCTGGCACTGATAACATCCACTCATACTAATTATTATATCTTCTTAAGTGTATGTAAAATACAAACTTAAAAAAAAAATCACATATATTTCCAAAAAATCTATAACCGAACCATACGATAAGGAGACACGTACAAATCAGAAGGGGAGATTCTCAGAGTGACGCTGACACGTTTCGAAGGGGGTTCCCTTCTTCATCAGAGCTTACCAGATGTGTATCGTTATTGTATGGTTCGGTTTTGGATTTTACATTCCTGTTTTATATCTACTTTTGTGAGTATATCTCCTAAATCAATAAATCTAGTAATTGTTTACTGAGGTGATGTGCAAGGTCGTTGCAAACTGTTTTTGTGTTCTTCAATACAGTTTGTATCGAGCTGCCCCAGCTTCGGGTTAGAGCTGCAAAGCCTTTGATCGGTCCTGGATGAATTCCCATACTCTTACATAGTATTGGTACATCGACCCTCTACTGGCCTGGGTCCCTGAGCGCAGGAGGTGTTGCATCTGTGTATACAGAATGTCCACCATGTACACAGCACCAACACATACCGCCATTGTCACCACTGCAAACCCTGTCTATCACTGTACACGGCTTCTGTCCTGCCCTGTATTGCTTGAATGACAACAGCTTCCAAGAACTGACATCTGATTATATCAACAGAAATAAGAACCAATGATGATTTTCTTGATCCTCAGCCAACATCCTCTAAAAAATAAGAAAATAAACAAACAAAAAAAACCAAAAATAAATAAATACATAATAGAATAAAAAAAAGAAGATAGCTGTCATTGTCCTAAAAAAAATAAATAAATAGGTACATAAATGAATATAAAAGAAAATAGAAGTAAAAAATATTTGGAATCATTTGTGTTAACATCCTATTTAGAATGCAAAATACCATCATAGCACCGTGCATGTTTGTGAGCTGTGTACTTTACATCTGCTTTAAATAACACACGGAATCTGATATGGCGCAGCACCTCCACCATTGCTTCAGTTTTTCTAAGTCAGCTTTTTGTGTTTAAATTTAAATGCAAGAAATAGCATGTGATGACTTACTCATCTACTGTTTAATGGTAGTGAAACAGTTCTGATATATATACTTGAGAAACTCAGCTCTGGTTGAAAAAATAAACCTTGACATGTTATTTGGAATTAAGGTGACAGTCACTGCCTCTCCCAGCTTCAGTCATCATTACCCTGGTAGTTTGTAATGTTTTAGCAAACAACAGCATGGCTCCCCTGGGGGGGAGAGGAAAGTATGTCATATTTGTACAGCTGAAAACAGGATGAAACATAACAGACCCCTCACATTCTCAATTAGGTCTGAAAGTGCTTGGGCACATAAACAGGTTGTGGAAAGTTTTTACTATGAAGAAATGTAACAAGTATTATCATTGAAACAACTTCTTTAATGTATTGGCAGAGTATTACCTCTATAATGGTGGTCCTAATTTCAGACTTATTATGTTTATGAAAATGTCAAAAACTAGCAAATGAAAGAAAGAGAGTGATGTACTTCTGGACTAAAGGGCTGGCATGAGAGGAAACTACTAAAATGACTGTACAGCGAATTAGGCATTCATCCAAGAATACACATCCAGGCTAACTGTGGTTTGCCAACAAATCAGAGGATCTGTCATATAGCGGCGGTAAATGACAGTTCCCTGCCGGGTTCTGTTTGTAAACAAAGGGGTGGGAGATCATGACCATATTTGGTCAATGCCATCATCCGGGATCCTGCCACTATGTTTACATTCTAGTGGCACCAGGATCTGTCATTTATGATGGGAGTAGCAGTGGGGCAGTATTGTCATGGCAGTGGGTCAACATCATTGCTTGTCACTCATTATAACTGATGTAAAGCTACATTGCTGGACAACATGATTGATGTTGAATTTACATCGGGGGCGTTGTTTACTTATTTATTTTAACCATTTACCCTCAAGAAGATTTACTCCCCTTCCTGACCAGGCCATTTTTTGCGTTACGGCTCCGCGTTATTTTAACTGACACTTGCGTGGTCATGCAACGCTGCACCCAAATGAAATTTACATCCTTTGTTTTCCCACGAGTTGAGCTTTCTTTCAATGGTATTTGATTGCCTGTGTGTTGTTTATGTTTTGCGCTATAAAAAAAAAACAATTTTGAGAAAAAAACAATATTTTTGACTTTGACTCAAATTTAGGGCAAAATGGATTCTGCTACATGTCTTTGCTAAGAAAAATCCCAATACATGTAAATTAATTGGTTTACATGATAGCTTTTACAAATGGTAGATACTGGATTTTTTTTTAATTTACTAATAATGGCAGTGATCAGCAATTTATAGCAGGACTGCAGTGGGCATTCTGCCACTGGGTGGGAACTGAAATGCAAAATCACGTATATATATATATATATATATATATATATATATATATACAGTGAGGATCGAAAGTTTGGGCACCCCAGCTAAAAATTTGTATTAATGTGCATAAAGAAGCCAAGGAAAGATGGAAAAATATCCAAAAGGCATCAAATTACAGATTAGACATTATTATAATATGTCAACAAAAGTTAGATTTTATTTCCATCATTTACACTTTCAAAATAACAGAAAACAAAAAAATGGCATCTGCAAAAGTTTGGGCACCCTGCAGAATTTATAGCATGCACTGCCCCCTTTGCAAAGCTGAGACCTGCCAGTGTCATGGATTGTTCTCAATCATCATCTGGGAAGACCAGGTGATGTCAATCTCAAAGGTTTTAAATGCCCAGACTCATCTGACCTTGCCCCAACAATCAGCACCATGGGTTCTTCTAAGCAGTTGTCTAGAAAACTGAAACTGAAAATAGTTGACGCTCACAAAGCTGGAGAAGGCTATAAGAAGATAGCAAAGCGTTTTCAGATGTCAATATCCTCTGTTCGAAATGTAATTAAGAAATGGCAATCATCAGGAACAGTGGAAGTTAAAGCAACATCTGGAAGACCAAGAAAAATATCAGACAGAACAGCTCACAGGATTGTGAGAAAAACAATTCAAAACCCACGTTTGACTGCACGATCCCTCCAGAAAGATCTGGCAGACACTGGAGTTGTGGTACACTATTCCGCTATAAAGAGATACTTGTACAAATATGGTCTTCATGGAAGAGTCATCAGAAGAAAACCTCTTCTACGTCCTCACCACAAAAATCATCGTTTGAACTTTGCAAATGAACATATAGACAAGCCTGATGCATTTTGGAAACAAGTTCTGTGGACCGATGAGGTTAAAATTGAACTTTTTGGCCGGAATGAGCAAAGGTACGTTTGGAGAAGAAGGGGCACAGAATTTAATGAAAAGAACCTCTGTCCAACTGTTAAGCATGGGGTTGGATCAATCATGCTTTGGGGTTGTGTTGCAGCCAGTGGCACAGGGAACATCTCACGAGTAGAAGGCAAAATGGATTCAATAAAATTTCAGCAAATTTTAAATGGTAACTTGATGCCATCTGTGAAAAAGCTGAAGTTAAAGAGAGGATGGCTTCTACAAATGGATAATGATCCTAAACACACCTCAAAATCCACAGGGGATTACATCAAGAGGCGTAAACTGAAGGTTTTGCCATGGCCTTCACAATCTCCTGACCTCAACATAATTGAAAATCTATGGATAGACCTTAAAAGAGCAGTGCGTGACAGACAGCCCAGAAATCTCAAAGAACTGGAAGACTTTTGTAAGGAAGAATGGGCAAAGATACCTCAAACAAGAATTGAAAGACTCTTGGCTGGCTACAAAAAGCGTTTACAAGCTGTGATACTTGCCAAAGGGGGCAGTACAAGATATTAACTCTGCAGGGTGCCCAAACTTTTGCAGACGCCATTTTTTTGTTTTCTGTTATTTTGAAAGTGTAAATGATGGAAATAAAATCTATCTTTTGTTGACATATTATAAGAATGTCTAATCTGTAATTTGATGCCTTTTGGAGATTTTTCCATCTTTCCTTGGCTTCTTTATGCACATTAATACAAATATTTAGCTGGGGTGCCCAAACTTTCGATCCCCACTGTGTATATATATATATATGTGTGCGTGAATTTTGCACCCCTGCTGCCCTGTAGCAGTATATCTGCTATAGGGCAGTGGGGAAGTGGTTATTTTTATTTACTATTTCCTTCTTTTTTTTGTGAATGAGTAACAAGGGATACTATGTACCTTGTAATAATTCGGGTGGCTAATATCTGGGGGTCCCATTATTCTAAAGGGGGCTTACAGATTATGATAAGTCCCACCCCCCCTAAAGAGAGGCTCTTATCTCCATTCCATCAACACCATTCCTTCCCTTCCTGTTTCCTGGCCTCCCAGTCATCTGGGCTGCATACTTGAATAAGGTCCTGGTAGGGATTTTAAAGGGGACTCATGCGTTTTCAAAAATTATATTTTTAAATAGTGTGCAGATATTTATAAGAGAAAGAACAGCATAGGATCCCCCTAAAAATCATATCAGACCCTGATAAGTGCCCCCCACTCCTGAACCATGCCAAGCCATATACCCTCCACATTAGCAGGGTACCTTATCAGGAAGAGCGGGGCAGCAGCTTTCTCCCATTGAAATGCAATTTGTTCCAAAATTGATGGGAACAAGGGCCTCATTCCCACTATTTTCCCCACAAAAAGAATGTGGTGGTTTGAGGGGGAGGGGACCTAAGGGTCCCCCAAATATCTGGTCCCCCAGGTGAATGACTTCAGGGTACATAGTATTCGTTGCTAATCATTCACAGGGAAATAGTCAAAAAACCCACATCATTCTAAAAAAAAAAAATAAATGTCCTCTGATGTAAGTCTCATATAAATCAGGATGAGCATGTTCAAACAATGCTGAGACGCTGGCACAATGACTCAACAGTGCTGCCTCGTCACTATTCCCATCACAAATGACAAATATGGTCATGACCAACATCTCAAGAAAGTACCTGACCCTGAATAAGGGTTGCATCATCCTGCTGGTAGAAAAAGACTGAAAAGTTCACTTTTGAGCAGCCAATTGTCCCAACCTAGGGTATGCTACCTCAAGTGTTTTTAACCGTTTCTAAATAAAAAACACAGTGGAATACTGCACTTAAAAGCACCTTTCTTTCCTCTTTCACACTCCCCACAGAGCCTTGCTTCACTCTTGGGCGTGTTGCCTGGTGCTTGTTCCAGATGTCATTCACATAGAGACTACTGTCTTCAGCAGAGGCGCCCTCAGACTTTCCTTTTGTTTACTTCAGTTATCTGTAGATTGTGGGAATGGATTTAAAGCAAAATTGTATTGTAAATCAACTAAATACATTCCAGGTGTATCAAAATAAAACTTGAGCAAAGTTTTCAAGCTGGTTTTCTTTGGAAAACAGCCACAGCCTGAGTAAGAAAGCCTACCTCTTGCCAGCATGCTGTAGCAAAGTATATTTACTATGTGAATTTAGTATGTGAAGGCAGTGGTCTCTCTATAGAGGTCCAACACATCCAGTACATCCAATAGTCAGAACTAGAGCTCTACAATCAGCAGGGAGTATGAGCTATGCTGAGCTCTAACTCTCTCTGACTCTCCTAGGTGCATGTCAGATCTCTGCAGAAATGGAAGGAGCACCAGATCAATTGATAAAAAGAGTCCAAATTAATTTACTGGTTTGCACTGCAAATGTTCAATGCATTTTGGGGACCAGAAAACTCTCATCCTTCATCAGGGATTTTATTTAAATAAGAAACTTGAATGGACTCAAGATAGGGTTAATTCTATGTAGGAACCAGGGGCTAACTGACAACTCATGGGGCCCCCGGTCAATAGGGGATCATGGGGCCCCTGTGTCCTTGCCCAAACTCAAAAAAGCCTATGAAAAAGGTACCAGGAGCATCTCATGGGGCCCCCTACTGACCCCGGGCCCTTTGGGCAGTGCCCGAGTTTCCAAATGGTCAGTCCGCCCCCTGGTAGGAACGTTAACTGGCTGTTTTCTAAAGAAAACAAACTATAAGATTTTGCACACATTTTATGCTGATGCACCTAGAATACGCTGAATAAAGTCCCACTACTTACATTACACTTACTTTCACACATGTGATCCAATAACGTGTTGTTAACTAACACACACCTGCAGCAGTTTGCATGAACGGGGTGTGATTTTAATGCGGTGTGGGAATTGCACAGAAACATCCACACCGCACCAGCATGAACCGGCACTAAGACATCTCGTACTGCAGGCTGCTGAGTTTTAATGGTCATGATAACATTTCGCCCATCACAAATTCCCCTTCAAAATGCCTTTGAGTCCTGGGGGTTGATTTCCTAAAAGCAAATCAGCTCTTCACTTTGAAAGGGAATTTTTCCTTTAACTTACTGATTGTGGTGAAAATTCACAATGCAATGAAAGCCTAAGCATGTGCATGTAAAACAATATAATCTAAATAATAAATACAAATAATACAATACTACACTTATAAATTATTTAGCACAAATAAATAGCATGTAAAATATATCTGATTTTAGATACACTTTACAGTAAGCCTATTTTTAATACACTTTACACTTATATAATTATTAGTTACAACATTTTGATTAATGTTTTATAAATTATTATTAAACATCTAGTTTACCTTTACATTGCTTTTTTATGTTTAAAATTGTGATTTAAAAAAAAATTTTTTTTATTAAGTTTCCTTCTCTTTTTATGATCCAGCTCGGTTAGCAAAGTAATTGTTTCCATGTTCTTTTTAAATATACCTCAGCTATAAAGAAATAACTATTTTCCCTATAAATGGCAGATGGATGTTAATGGTTTCCCAAGATGTTCCTCTTCTGGAAAATTGACTGCTTCACCACACAAACTGCGGAATGGCATATTATCTATTTTCTACATTTTCACAGATGGTAGCGTCCTTCCTTGGGTCAAGTAGCATTAAAAATAGATAATATATTAGACCTCACGAGTCTCTTCAGAAAGACTAAACAGTCACAACAGGGAATGTCATTGTTTTGGTTTTCTTTACGGGCTTTTATGTACTCAGCTGCATGTCAGCCATGCCTTCACTCTGGGACCCGACTTTTGCTGAATTCCAGTTCCACCTCACTTACAAAGCTTTATGCATTATAAGGTCCATGCCACACAAGTTTAGGAAACACTCACACAGCTGTGCTAAACATTCCCATTTTTCTGCACCAGAAAGTGCCTGACAGTTCTTAATCTCAAGTACGCTGTAAGTGTAGGGATGAAAGGGCATCAGACAGCATGTGTTGAAGAATAATAAGAAGCTTGAACAGAATAGAAACCACTGAGCTATGTTGTGTAAGCTTTGGATACACTAATTAAATGTCTTTGTATCGAACAGGAGACTCCTACCTACCATACTTGGTTGAATGAAGTGGTTTTAGATAAAATGTGAACCCTGTCAGATGTAAAAGTATGAACCCCCTTTGCTCGAAAACTGAGCGCAGAGTGCAGTTTCAAAAGTTTTTAAAAGGCACGTAGATCAAGAAGCCTATCTATGTTATTAGAAGATGAACAGAACATTGACATATTATGAATCTGTTCTTGTGATAACTCATCAGAACAACTCTTGCATGTTGCCAGAGTTCGTGGTTGTCATCTACTAACAACTGGTGGTACTACTGTTTGGCAGCTAGTTGTTACTATGTTTTACATTTACAGCTTATGTCAAGCCATTTTTCCCCGTTTTTAGAAACAGTGGGGAAGGATGAGAACTCCTGAGTTTTCACTTCTATCCAAGAACCCACTAGAGGAAATTATTTTCATTTATTGTCCTGCTGAAAATGGTTTCACCAAAAAGGAAGCAAAGGAAAATTTCAAACTTGTACTGCAGCGGTGACTCAGACAGAAATAAAAATCTGCAAAGGAAGTGTTGGTGGAGCAGGAAGACCCAAAGGTAAGTGCAACCAAATGTATGGTCTCCAGTTCTGGGAGACAGATCTCTAACATACAAGGCCTTCCCCAGAGCAGTCCAAAGAAGATGCAAAGCATGAAGGCACCACAAATTTAGTAAGTCCAGTGTAAAGTTGTTAGTCTTGATAAACAAAATTAGAAGGTACAGCCAACACGTACCAGGTGCTCACAACTACTTCTTCATCTGGAAGCATACAAGGCAGTGCAGACGTAAGCTTAGCCTAACTGATGCCTTTACTGCCTTTGTTTTAATTAAGACTAATAAACATATACTAGACTCTATGCTGAAATTTGTGGCACTCTTCTTTTTTGTATCTTCTATTATGTTACTATCTGTCTTGAAAAAGTTTCCAACAGGACAGGAAGAAAGGAGAAGTGTCTCTAGTGAAGTCCCAGATTGCAGTAAAAACCCACAGGGGTTCTAACCCTCCCCACTATATCCGATGCCAAGAAAACAGCTTTTGCTTAAAGTGTTACTAAACCCACAACAGTAAAATCAGTCTGTATATGCAGTAAAGCATGTTTGTTATACTCACTGTGGAACCTAAGGGGTTAATCTTCTGCATTGTGTAAAAAGGCCGTTTGAACCTGTCTTCTCTGATTCTCCCCTTTTTCAAGCGACTACCTCTTATCTCCTGATAAGACAGACTGAACCGTAGGCATTTTGCACAGGCTCAGTTTGGTGTGTAATGCTAGAGAGGTTTTTTTTCTTCGGAGAGTGCATGTGATCAGCACAGGGCCAATCAGCACTGTCCAGACAGAGGTCAGGGGTGTTGCATCTTCCTAGAGCAGAAAGAAAACTCCTCCTACAAGTTTGCTATGGTGCAGGAACCAGAGACACATCTTTTTAACAAATTCAGAAAGAAGACTTGTTTGGGAATGGTTAAAATGGATCAAAATTAACCAAAATAGGAATGTATATATAATATGGCATTGATTTACTAAAAAAGTAGAAACTGTTCACTTGGAAAATTGAACACTCACATTGGAAAGTTAATATTCACTAAGTTTAGTGAAAAAGGTTAAGCAGTTTTCACTTTGAATACCCAATCACCCAATTAATCATATACATTTTAAAAATTTAGTTTTGCTAGCACCTGATTGATTGAAGTGAATACAACTTCACCTTAGTAAGCTCAAAGAACATTCACTTTGCAAAGGGAATATGTACTTTGATAACTGAAGAGACTTGACTCCTTTGGTAAATCAGGCCCAGGTGTATTCTGAAATATATAGCAATGCAGAATTCCATTATGCTGTACATTCTGCTGTAGTAATGAACATTCCTTATTATAGGCAGCTACTTTATGTACAGATAACAACAGACAATTTGAACAGGTCTTGTGATATTTTACAAGACATTTTACTTAGGGCATTGCTTTACAGTGTGCATGTGTAGATTTTATATTTTTAGTATTTTACGTTTTCAAGTATTTTGCACATTTTTTATGTATTGTAAATAAGTTATACCTTACCAGATTACTCACAAAATAGCACATGTACTGTATGTATTCTTACATTACTATCCTGCTGTATAGAAAGCTGCATACAAAACACAGTACTTACTCTTCATGCATGTTTTTTTTTTTGCCTACTGCTTCTGACTCATTTGCCATGCACAGTTTACATGTGTGTATTACTGTAATTATATGTTTTTGTAACACATTTTATACATTGCTTTATTTATTTATTTATTTTTTTGTCAACAGAACATAACCCTTACTTTTCCCCTGAGGAAGCCCTTTATGGACTAAACACATTGGGAGGTGCTCTGTTTAATTTTTCATGGTTCTATATCAACACATAATTGGACCAAATTGAGAGGGTTGTTTATCCCTAAAATATTTTTATAAATATTTATTGAATAAAGCTGATTGTTTTTAAAGTGATTCTAAAGGAATTACCTGCCCTGTGCAATAATTTTTGCCCAGAGCAGCCCAGATCATTTTCATTTTGGGTCCCCTGACAGCAGTCCTGGCTTCTCTCCCCTGCCTTGTGCCCCCCAATAGCAAGGTTCTTGCTATGGGGGAACTCGAGAATGCTCGCTCCCAAATTGCGCTCTGTGTGTCCATTCATATACAAAGTGCAGCTCGACCACCCCCCCCCCCACCGCTCTCTCCTCATCGACTCACTGGCTGTGATTTACAGCAGCAGAAGCTAATGGCTCTCGCTGCTGTGTGAGCCAATGAGGAGAGAGAGACACTGGAGAGATGCTGCTCTCATGCACACTGCTGGATTGAGATGGGGCTCACATAAGTATAAGGGGAAGAATGGGGGGATGAACCCAGAAAGTTTTTTACCTTATAATGCATTAAGGTAAAAAAAAAATTCAAGTTTGTTGTGCAATATTTTTTTGAGAAACCACCCACCTTTAAAGTCCTTCATGTATGTTACATGTAAACGTCAAGAACCCACACACATGCCTTTCCATTATTTATTAGATTTTTTTTCTTATTTTTTTCTTTACGTTAAAAAATGAACTTACTATTCTTTACAGTAAGTATTGAATCTAACTAAAGGGAAAGTTTTTTTATTTTAGTTTTGGACAGAGTATGTAATGGTTAAAACCCCAGTCATTATCTGGTCTGTGTCTCAATGAGAAGATTTCCATTTTATTTCCTGTGCCAGAGACAAAACAGGAAGTGAGAGGAAATCTCTCCAAAGTGAGGAACAATTCCCCCTTGGGCAGTTGTCACTACAATAGGTGCCACCTTTGGAAGAGTTTCCCTTACCTCATCTTCCAGTGACAACTACTGAATGTTGAAGGTTTTGACTGTAGATATTCTTTAGATATTAGTTCTGAATCAGGGGTGGACTGACCGTTTGGAAACGTGGGCACTGCCCGAGGGCCGGGGTCAGTAGGGGGCCCCATGAAATGCCCCTGGTACTTTTTTCATTGGCTTTTTTTGAGTTTGGGCAAGGACACAGGGGCCCCATGATCCCCTATTGCCCGGGGGCCCCCATGAATTGTCAGTCTGCCCCTGTTCTGAATATTTTTTGTGTAATCTTTCTGGTAAAAATGTATTCTAGGAATTTGTC